CTACTAAGACTACAACTAGTACTATTACCTTTGTTGTACTAGTAAGACGAATTCGGCGAACACAATGCGAATGACACGGCTGAGCCATTTTATCAAGCACAGTATTCACCAGCAGTACATGAAATGGTCATATTAAGAACAGTTGGATTTATACATAATATGATCTATAAGAGTTGCACTACGAAGACAATGGATGATACGACTAGGTATACGTAGAGAGAGGGAGAGAGAGAGAGAAAACAAACAAACTGATAACCGCTTCAGGAACAAATGCGTAGCAATAGCACTAATACTAGCAATACGAATGATAATGTCTAATGTAAGAAATAAGAGTAATACTAACCATCGTACCAATACCCATAGTAATATTTAGAAGACGAAGAACAAGGACAACCGAATAAACATACACATTCGAAGCTCCGCATGGACGTCTTGAATCGGCGTTGTGCCCCCTGGCGAGGCCTCCAGCGCCGCCCCCGACGCGCTCCGAACGGCTAGGGAGGGGGGTCCACCGCCGATCAGAGAAATCCGTGCGGAGTTCCGCAAGTCATGTATGTCTGGCTTCCAGCACCACCGCATACACAATGTGGAATCCGCTTAGCGTGCATCAAATCGTTGTCCAGCAGTCGCCGAATGTATTATCGAATGTGTACTTCATGGTTTCTAAAGTACTTGATGAAACGCATCAGGCCGCGGTGATCAGGCAAGGTGCCAGGCGGCAATGGAATGTGACAAATTTAACCTCGACCTGGACTGGGTTCAGTCTACCATTCCAGTTGTGAGATTTCAGAAACTTGTTTATACCTTTCTGTCGCGTTGTGTGGTGTGTGGCCGCAAGGCTACGAGGATGACGAGGAGGACGATGAGTACGAGGAAAGGTAATGAAGGATGGGGGGGAATGGGAAGGGGAGGAGGAGGAGGAGGAGGAGGAGGAGGAGGAGGAGGAGGAGGAGGAGGAGGAGGCGGAGGAGGATTCGGAGGAGGAGGAGGCGGAGCCTCACGAGGACTATAGGACGACGTGGTCCTTCTTCCCTCTCCTGGAGGGCCTGCCTCGACTTCCCCAGGGGCCGCCGCCGTTGCGGCGGCTGCCGTCGCCGCTGCCGCCCCCCTCGCCGCCCGCCGTCGGCGTCGGGTGCGGCCGCGCCTCGCCGCGGGCCCGAGGAGGAGAAGGAGAGCGGCGGCGCCCCGGCCACGGACGAGGCCGCCGCCGAGGCGGCGGCGGCGAAGCCGCGCGGCTCGCGCTGAGGCCGCGGGCGAGGCCGCAGCGGCGGCGGCGATGGCCGCGCGGCTCGCACGGACCCCTGCGGGCGAGGCCGCGGCCGCGGGCTGCGGCCAAGCCGCCGCCGCCGCGGCGACCGCGGCCGCTGCGGCACCCGTGCCTGCCATTTCGAACGGATGCGCCCGTCGTCGTCGTCGTCGTCGTCGTCGTCGTCGTCGTCGTCGTCGTCGTCGTCGCCGTCGCCGTCGCCGTCGCCGTCGCCGTCGCCGTCGTCGTTGTCGTTCGTCGTTCGTCCGTCGTCCGTCGTACGTCGTCCGTCGTCCGTCGTCCGTCGTCCGTCGTTCGTCGTTCGTCGTCCGTCGTCCCTCGTCCGTCGTCCGTCGTCCGTCGTTCGTCGTTCGTCGTACGTCGTCCGTCGTACGTCGTACGTCGTCCGTCGTCCGTCGTACGTCGTCCGTCGTCCGTCGTCCGTCGTCCGTCGTCCGTCGTCGGCGTCCGTCGTGCGTCGTCGTCGTCGTCGTCCGTCGTCGTCGTCGTCCTCCACTTCCTCCTTCTCCTCTTCCTCCTCCTCCTCCTCGTCCTCCCTCTATTCGCCCTCTGCTGCTGCTGCTGCTGCTGCTGCTGCTCCTCCTCCCCGTCTTGCTCGTCGTGCTCCTGCCCCGCATGCGCTGATATTTCGTGGGGGGACGGGTGATGGACACATCGTTGTTGTCGTCGCCCCCTCGTTCTCTCTCTCTCTCCCCCCCTCTCTCTCTACTGCACCTTCTGCTCGGTCCTTGTCCTATCATCCCCATTCTTCTAGGGTCCGCCAATCACCTGGGTTATCGGGCCCACATCTCAGAGGCCAGCAACATATGTACACGTACGCGGTTAGTTTCCCCTTGAGTGCGTGTCAACGCGGACGTTCGTGCAGGCAAGACCGCGGAGGGCGTACATGTACATATGTCGTTGCTCGCCCAACATCCCCCCTCTCCCCCGCCCTCCCCCTTCCCCCCCTCTGAGAACCTGACCTTCTCGGCTGCGCAGTTCCGACGGGGCTACGCAGCATCGGTGCGCGAGGGCATACGTGGGGTTGCCCAAGTCGAAAATTGTACTCCAGATTTCGTAATAAAGGGAGGGGGGTCTCATTTCGGGGGGGGTCTCTTCCAGGCTATCTTGGAGGGCCTGGGGGGTCTGGGGACGATGTTTTGGAGGGTTCTCCCACGGGGGAGGTCTGAAATGGCTTGTCTTGGAGGGTCCAGACCCCCTCCCTTTTATTACAAAATCTGGAGTAGGTTGTCGGCTGGCACCTCCCCTCCCCCTCCCTCCGGATAACCTTGGTTGTCGGCGAACAAAAAAAACACCTGGCTCTCACGACGATGGGGAGGCCTCTTGTGTGTTGGCGACGAGAATCATGATCACGATGATGGCGGCAATAGTGATGGTATGATGATCGTTGTGGAGGCGCAGGTAGATAGTGGGGGAGCGGGAGGATGGTGAGGGATTGGATGAGTAGGACGCGGATGAGTTTCATGTGGATCGTCAGATTGACGTTTCGCGTAACCCCAGTAGCCCATTCAGAAATGCCCGTGTGAGTTGTTGTGATCAGCGAAGCGTTGGAGCGTGCAGTGGAACAAAGAGGGGGGCAGTTGCGGCCGGTGCCGCCGAGCCTGCAGGGGGACGACGGCGACGACGACGCTTGCGAGCCCTCGAGGGGGCTCTTGTGGGCCCTGTTGGCCTCGGGACCCCCCCACCGACCGCCGCTGGGACCGCCCCCACAGACCGCCGCTGGGACCGCCCCCAGCGATCCAGCGATCCCCAGCGGGGACCGCCCTGCCCCCCCCCCCGGCGGGGAAGGGATCAGGGGTCTTCCTTTCTACTCAATTGGTGTTCCCCCCCTTGGCTGGCTGCTCTGTGGGGCTCTCCGGGGTCGTCCTGGTCGCAGAAGAGTCGGGCGATCGCAAACGTGGACCAAGGGGGGCGTGGATCGGCGACGGGTCCCGTTTCCATGGGAAATCTGGGACCTCCGCCGCCGAACGAGGCGGCCCTGGCCGCCTTGTGGGGAGGGCGCCTCCCCCGATGCATGGACTTGGCGACCGCGCGCCACGTCCACGGATCGCTCATCCACGTCTGCGCGCCCCCGAAAGAGGGGGGCCACGACCCTCGAGACCCCTCCCCCCCGCCAGGGGAGAGTCGACCCCCGCGCCCTCCCCCGGGAGCCCTCCCTCCCCTGGCGCGGGGCAGGCGTCGAAGGGGGGAGGCTCCCCTCGGAGTCGGCTGCGACGTGGCTCGCTGTTTCGTCTGGCTGGGTCGCTCGAGGAGTCGAGCGGGTGATCGACTGCAGCACCGGTCTGCCCCAGACTTGGTTGTCTCGCCGAACCTACGAAACACACGGCATACGTGGAGTGATCCACCCGTGTTCTGCGTCTTGTTCGCACATTCGGCGACACAATTGAAAATCTGGGGTGGTCCCCTACTCGAAGGAGGAGGGCCCAGGGAGAATGGCGACGGCGACTCAAACGGAAGAGCGTCTCACACATGCCGATCGGGTCGACGGAGTGCTCTCGGAAGCCCCTGTGGGTTATCCAGATCTCTCGGGGGGGTCTTTCGGGGACTTTTGGGAAGCCAGAGGAGCTCTCTTGTGGGTCTCTCGGGGATTTCTTGGATGCCGCAGAAGTTCCCTCAGGCTGTGTTGGAGGGCATCGATCAAAGAGGGGGGGTGTTTATCAGCTTTGCTTTTCGTGAGTCCAGAAGTTGTATTGGCCGCTCTTGGGCCAGAGATTGGGCGGAGGAACAGGGGGACCGAGGAGGATCCTTGAGGGAGCTTGTGCCTGTGTGCTCTTGTTGTCAAAGCGAGCAGTAGCCCATGACCTCACATCGGGCATCGAAGGCAGGGCCGCGTACCGCAGGTAGCGCACCACAGAACACAGGGTCTCCGGCCGGCGTCGCGAAGCGATCATCACGGCGGGCGTTCTTTGGTCACCATGTTGACCTCGGGCATCGCTCTCGGACGCCCGGGCCATCAGCATCACGGCCCGCGATGAAGAGCACACTTCAGGCACCACGGGAAGCGCTGTTGCCTGGGCCGGTTGTCGCTGCTGCTGCTGACTGCCGTCGCTCGCGGCTGCTCGGTGTTGCTCGACGTTGCCTGTTGTTGCTTCGTGCTGCGCTGCTTTGTTTACTGCTGCGTACTGCTGCTAGCTGTTTTTATTCGCACGCTTCTCCTCCGCCTTCTCGTCCTTCTCCTCACCGCTCCTCCTAGTTCGGTGTTTTTCCTCCTCATCCTCTACACTCCTCCGCCGCGTCCTACTCGCACCTCCTCCCCTCCTGCTGCCCTGTCTCGTCCTCCCCATCGTTCACCCTCATTGTGGTCGACCTTTTCACTCCTCATCCTCCTCGCGCCCGTGTGAAACTCTTGCACAGCTGAAGACGATTGTGCGCGGCGCTGAGGAGAGCGCCACATTTTGAAAAGGAGTCGGCCTCCATCCGTGAAGCTCTTGCACATTTTTACAACGAGTGCATGCGGCGCTAAGGCGAGACCCACATTTTGTCGAGACGTGAAACTCATGCAAGGGTTTACAACGAATGCACGCATCGCTAAGGCGAGAGTCACATTTTGAAAACGACTCGCCTTCAATGCGTCAAACCCTTGCAATATGTTTACAGCGAATGTGCGCGGCGCTAAGGCGAGAGCCACATGTTTATAATGACCCGCCCTCAATCCATGAAACTCTTGCAAATGTTTAAAACGAATGAGTGCAGCGCGAAGGCGAGAGTCACATTTTGAAGACCACCCAGCCTCAATCCGTGAAACTCTTGCAACTGTTTAAAGTGAATGTGCGCGGCGCTAAGGCGAGAGCCACATTTTGGAAACGGCCCGCCCTCCATGTGTGAAGCTGTTGCCGATGTTTGAGCTTCAGGGTCATTAGTGGTGAGGAAGTTTTAGGCGAAACGCTCGGCCCGCCCTAAAGACTCGGTTCGGAGTGCGACAGGGAGAAGTTCTTTAAAAGGAAAAGGAATGGACGAGGAGGAGGAGGAGGAGGAGGAAGATGAGGATAGGAGGAGGAGGAGGAGGAGGAGGAGGAGGAGGAGGAGGAGGAGGAGGAGGAGGAGGGGAAAGGGGAGGGTGAGTGGACGGGAGGAGGAGGAGGAGGAGAGGAGTAGGAGGAGGAGGAGGAGGAGGAGGAGGAGGAGGAGGAGGAGGAGAAGAAGTAGGAAAGGGAGGAGGAGGAGGAGCGAGGAGGAGGAGGAGGAGGAGGAGGAGGAGGAGGAGGGCGAGGACGAGGAGGACAAGGATGGAGGAGAGCGGGTAGCCTCTCCCGCTGCCCGCGGCCGCGCGCGCTCTCGGCAGGTTTGGCCCTGCGGACTGCGTGTCCCTGGAGCTGTCCGGGTCAGGCCCCTTGCCGCCGACGAGCCCGCCGACGACGACGACGCAAACGTCGACGTCGACGCTGGCGCCGACGCCGACGCCGACGCCGATGCCGACGCCGACGCCGACGCCGACGCCGTCGCCGACGCCGACGCAAACGCCGACGCCGACGCCGACGTCTGCTGCGACGACCACGACGACGACGCCGCCTTCGACGACGTCGACGACGACGCTGGCGTCGACGCCGACGCCGACGCCGACGACGACGCCGACAACAACGACGCCGACTCCGACGCCGACGACGCCGCCACCGATGCCGACGTCCCGACGCCGACGCCGACGCCGACGACGCCGATGCCGACGCCGACGCCGACGCCGAAGACTACGAGGACACCGACGAAGACGAGGAGGGCATTGCTACAGGCCTTCTTCCTTCTTCGGCCCCCTCCTTCGGCTTCTTCCTCCTTCGGCACCTTCCGTCGGCACCCGTTCTTCCATCGGTCTTTACTCTCCTCTGCCGAGGGCAGCAGTGGATGTTGATGCATGGACAGGCTGCCGACATGTCTGCATTGGAAAACTCGCGCGTGGGGGCGACGCGCAAGCAGTAGAGAGGTCGGTTCCCGCTTGGGCGCCCTGAGGGCGAGGCAAAACCGAGGTGGAATCAAAC